CGAAATTGAATGACTGCTGGAAATGGCCTGCAATATATAGACACGAACAAGTAGGTTTTTTGAATTGAATAGGTGCAAATTCAAATTGGACAAATACAACATCAATCTGGACAAATCTAATAACTGTAGCAGTTATAAAATTGTCCAGAATTGCTGACAGTTTTTTCCAATTTGTTTGAACATTTGAATCTGTTGAACGTTTAGTTTGAATCTGTTCAATCTGTCTGGGCAGATCTAAATTTGTTTGAAAAAACAGAATCTGTCTGGGAACAACATATTTGGAAACTGTTTGGAAAATTGGACTGTAGAAGGTAACATATGGACAGAAAAATAAAATTCAATTTTGGCACGAAATTAGAATTTAGAATTTCTGGAAAAATCAAATAAATTTTTCTCTAAAAAATTAATATTAGAATTGACCCGACCCGCAACCCATACCTAGCATGGCTCGGCTCGGCCGGTCGGTCGGACGGCGGCGGCAGCGTGCACGTGTGTGTAGTGGTTTGAGCCAAGGTTTCACTTGTCCATAACTCTTTCCTTCTACAAATTTGTGGTGCCCCTTGGAGCCCAACTCAAGTGTTATCATCTAAAGCTTATATACATATACAAGCTCTCTTAAAGTTTTAATGTGGGACAAGCCTTACAAGGAAAGCCACATTTAATTCTTTAATTGTCCATTCCACGAATCCGAAAAACGACATCAAGTTCCCATTCACTCATAAATGATTTTGACGAACCATTTTCACCGTGTGACTTGCTATGCGGCAAGGAATACGTCACATCTTCGTACCCACCCTAAAAGACATTTGGGGCTCACTCAAAATTGGGATCAAAGTTGGCCCAAAATAAGCCTATAAAAAACCATTATTTTCAACAATTCCCCACATGAATGGAATTTGACGGAGAGAAAATGCAATAACATGATCTAATTATAGAGTGTACAGAAATTAGAAATATTCTACAAAAGATAGGTAGCTTTTGGTTTTGAACATTCCCTTGTGAGACACTATCATATTTACTAGCTAACCAGTGAACATGATGTCTTGAATTATTCAGCCGTTGGTGTAAACCAAGACAATAGAACTCACACAGTATATTACCAGACACAGTTTGGTTCTCACCATTGTGTTCATTTTGTCCCTGAACAACCTGATCTTTCATGAGTGCTCTAGAGAATTGTAGCCCTTCACAAATCTCATAGAACCAGCCCAGTTCATACTCACATAGGTGATTCTTATGAAGAGTATCCTGCCATACTCCACTAGGTTTACCTAGATATAAGAATTATTAAAAGTATCACTTAACCTAAAAATGTTGCGGACATCACTATTTCATTATAGAAATGGGTAGAAGTTTGACTTCTCTGTGATCCTTCTAAGTCATACACAACTCAGTTGTCCCTTTGAACCTAGGTCTTGGGATCTCCGGTCAACTAAGTTGGGTTGCCATTGTGGTAACTCTTATTTAATAGGCTTAAGCCTTATTCCCCTCGATGAATTCTCAACTAAATCTCTTGCTAACCCTTTGGTTAATGGATCCGCTATGTTGTCTTTAGACTTCGCATATTCAATAGAAATAATTCTATTAGATAATAGTTGTCTCACGGTGTTATGTCGACGACGAATGTGACGTGACTTACCGTTATACATATGACTCTGTACTCTATTAATTGCTGATTGAATATCATAATATATGCATATAGCAAGCACCCGTTTTAGCCATATTGGAATATCTTCAAGGAAGTGGCGAAGCCATTCTGCCTCTTCTCCAGCTTTATCTAAAGTTATAAATTCTGATTCCATAGTAGACCTAGCAATGCAAGTCTGTTTGGAAGATTTCTAAGACACAGCTGTCCCACTGTAGACATCCCATTTTTGACCGACCTTAAGACTCAGACGTCACCGATTGAGCGCTTGGTGATGTTGCATGATGTGCTCGTTCAGAAGTCTCGGAGTCGCGGCCGTGAGCCCTGCCTCCGGACTTCCGAACCCTCTTCTGTGCCCTGTCTCGGTTTGCGAACCAGACTCGGTTTTCTCTGCTTCTTTTCCTGAGGGGAGGGAGAGGTCCAGCAGACCATCTCTCAATGTCCGTTTCATCTCTGGCACATCAAATAAAGGATTTGCAATTTTGAGTAAATAAGAACTCTCTAATAAATTAAACGTATCCCCACCAATGTCCCATAACTTGGTGTACCTATGAAGTGCTCATGGAGTACCCAACTGCCAAAGAATGTATGAAAAGTATCCGGTATGTATTTCGAGTACCTAGTAAGTACCCGGTACGAGTACGGCAACATTTTCGAAGTACCCATGCTTCATAGCTTGTGCCATGTGAGGCTTATGCCTACAACCTTTTTCACCATCTTGTATGTTTAGTCTTTTTTTTTTTTAAATGCTTTTGCACCCATTTCTTATTTTCATTTTTGTTTATTTATTAATTTATTATTATTATTGATATATCCAGGTAACGAAATGGATGTTGATGTTGTTGTCCAGAGTTTTTGTGAAAGTGGCGCAACATCTTGAGAAATTCAATATAGCTTTCGCATATGATTGGATGGTTGTCAATGGGGAAGTATTCTTGACTTATCCAAGAAAGCTAGGTTGGGATTGTGCGGTGCGGTTGATTTTGTTTTTGTGACAATTCTTTGCTCTCTTCAGTCCTTCGTGTCCAAAGTTTGGCGATGTTTGTGTCGTTTGAACTTGTAGCATTATGCATTTGTGTTTTCTAACCATTTTTATCTATATTGTTTGTTCCCGTACATAAATGCACAAGGCCATAAATGGCCTTAAAACTTGTGGGTTGAAAGCTAAAAAATACATCTCTTGATTGATTTTCACCTTCTGGGGTTACTGCAATGCTAGTTGTCGTTTGAGATTGAAAGATCTATGGGATTCTTGCAAGGGGTAAGTTACTTTCAAAAAGTTAAATCATTTTAAAGTATTTATCTTTGTTTTTACCAGTTTCTTTACTGAAATTAGGAGAGGAAGAAAATTGATGAAATCAAATTTTGATTGTTTGAGATAAATGGATATTTTGGTTTTCGGTTGGTTCTTCACAAGGTAAGGTTTGTTTTGATTTTTAGAAATTTTACACCAATATTGATCAAACCCTTATTTATTTATTTTTTTTATTAATAAAGGTTTTCCACATTTTTTATTTTTTGTTTTAAAGTGATCCAATATATTTTGCAATAATAGCTAAGGGAGACATTTATAGAGCAATTTGTTTTGCATCCTATTTTGTCAAACAAAAATGTTTAAGACTTCCTTTTTCTCCACCCCTTTTGACCCCCACTCTTTTTTGATTAGTTACTTTTTCTTTTGTTTTTTTTTTTTTCCTTCTCCTCCAATCACCACCCGCCACGTGTGTATAGGGGGTGGTGGTGGGGGTGGTGAGTGGGGGTGCTCTATCAATGTTCTTTGTCAAACTATTCTTGATGTGATATTTTATATATTTCTATAAATCACTTTAAGGTTTTCTCAGAATCCTTTCTTAACATTAAATTGAAGGATTTGGTTTCTCAATTGAAACATGTGATTAATTTTGATTTCTTAACTAACAAAATTGAATAATTTGATATGGTCAAATTTTCTATTTTCTCTCAATCCCTCCAAATCAAATCAATTACACCGTACGTAAGGAAATCTCGAGCATTTTGAAGTAAAACAACATTTTCTTTCACATGCTTTGGGAACAAATTTTGCTGTTTCTTTTGGGTTCAATGATTTGAGTTTGGTTAGCAATAAGCTTCAGATATAGGTTAGTAGTCACCATTTTTTTCAAAGTGAGGACATCAAGTACATTGCTCCTTTCCTTGTGAATTCTATTAAACGCCTGGCTGTTGGAAAATTATTTAGTGCTCCTAGGAAAGATAATATGCTGCTTCAATTTTGATTTTTATTGGTTGAAGCTTTGAAAAATTGTTTAGTACTGCTGAGGGCAAGATGATGTGATGTGCTTCACCAAATGTATGTGGCAATCTGTGCTTAAACAATCACAAATTTGTGGTGTTGAGCCAACATCACTAAGCCTGTGTTTGGAGGTCAAAGGGTTCATGCTTAATCACATGACTAGCAGCTAAGCCTGTGTTTAGAGGTCAAAGGGTTCAAGCTTAATAACATGACTAGCAGCTACTAGCACACACATTGTGTGTGCAATTCAAATAATAATAAAAAATAAATTGGGTTTAAGCTTTGTATATTTTTTTGTGTAACTTTTTATTTTAATATATGACATGATGAAAAGCAAAGATTTCGGAATATCAACTAAAGCCTTTGCTTAATGTAATATAGTATAGATGTACCAAAAATATTATATGCTGTAATATTTCCTCGGCAAAATTTCACTGTAACACTTACGCTGTGTTTGGTTGGAAGATTTGAGGAAGGATTTGGAAAAAGAAAGAAAAAAATTGTGTGAAACTAAGTGAAATATAAATATGTTTTATTTACATTTCATTTATCATTTCCATTTCCTTTTCCAAATCCTTCCTCAAATCCCCTAACCAAACACAGCATTAATATTCTTTTTTGTAAACAAACTGAGCCTGGCTCATTGTTTATCAAACAAGAACATCTAACTTAAACTTGGCTCAATAATTAATCTAGTTCAGCTTGGGTTATTAACACTAATCAAACTCAAACTCGACTCATTAGTAAATAATATTTAAGCAAGCCAAAAACATAAATAAATATATTTATTCTATTTCATTTCATTTAAATACATGATAAAACGAGCTACGCTTCACAAGCTTATCTTATTTGAGCTTGAGCTTAGCTCGTTTATTAAAATGAGCCTAAAAGTCTAGACCAAGCTCATTTGTAAACAACAAATCGAGCCAAACTAAAGCCTTAACGAGCCGACCTTGCCAACAGTTCAGCACATTTTCAACCCTAGGCTGGTCATAGCTTGCCAATCCATAACGTTATATGATTCCAGAAAAAAGCCAATAAATAGCATTAAGAGAGATGTAACTACTATAAAATAGAGACAAATAGTAGCCGCGTTGATCTGATCTTTTATTCTGTTAAAAACATCAACAATCTTGAATTTTCCACCAAGCATCAATGAAGCATAAGAAATCCCATTACCATATCAGGGGAAACACAAGTAAAAGTAAAAACAAAGTGGGCGAACTGGCTTGTTTTTATTTTGACATGAAATTGGTCTTGAGAACTTTTCACACACGCGAAGTAACCATCATACATAACACACCAAGATCCAACTGTCTAGAAATTTCAGCACAAAATATACAAGCGTACTTTAATCCCGTAGGCATATTTAGAAGTTTCTAGAATGGCCGCTTAAGCATTTTTCAGAACTCCCTATCTGGGAAAAGATGAGGCGCAACGAGGGACCAGATGAACAAACCTGCGGTAGCCCATCCCGTAATGATTCGGACCCAGACAGACGGCCACCCCACATCAACCAACCGCCCATTCGCTCCCACAGAGGTTGACCACCCTGTGAGAAGCATTGCAGAGTACATGCTAGCAAGGGAGAAGATGATGTGGAAGAATGCATATGAATATGAGACGGGCTTAGCCCTTTCTTTCTCTTCCACCTCGTCTGCCTTGTCCAAGGGAAGTAAAGGCTTCCCAGCACCTTCACCAGGAAAACACAAACACGATGTCATTCAAAACGGGATTTGTCAATAAAAAATGAAATTTGCTTTTTGTCAACAAATGGGACATTAATGTGATAGTTGTCGTCCTCTAGTGGGTTCACCTCTGGATAGACTTCACTGCTGGATGTATTGTCAAATATTTGAACACTAAAAGAGCCCCAAAGAAACCGAGAAATTGAGAAGAGATTTCCAAAGAACTAGGAAACAGTAATTTCGAAAAAGACTGGTGAATCTTTAATTTTGTCAGCTCAAATCAAGGAATACCTCAAAAAGATTTCATACTTCATCTTAACATTAAACAACAATTCTCATAACATATTTTCGAAGTAAAATACTTAATTTCTTAATATATTTCAAAACACATATAACATATTAAACACCACGAAAAAGAAATGCACAGCAAAACACAGAAGACAGCTTAATCAATCAAGGTAGAGACACTCACGAGGTGAACTTGGTGGTGAAAGTAAGGTAGTAGAAGAACCAGCACGGACAGCTGAGTAGACAACTGATAGAACAGTTGTAAGCAGTCCGACAGTGAGTGTGCCAGTGGAAACAGCTTTAGAATGATTGTGAAGTCCATTGCACTCATACTCCCTTGGTTCACTGGCAAGTCCAGAGTAGGTGAGGTACACGCAGTACAAAGATATAACTGAAGCTGGCAAAATGCTGCCACTTACCTGTTTTACATCCATGAAAACTGTAAGTATCTATATATATACGGGCATATTATGTACTACAACCAAGTAATAAGCATAAATAAACAAAGAAAATAATAAACGAAATATGAAGCTAACTGGAAGGATTGTGTTAATCTAAGTGGGGAAAACTAGACAACTGCTCTACTTTGACTGATGGAATACCGTAGAGTTGTCATGATGAGAAGAGGTGGTAGGTGAGCTTAAGACGTACCAAAACAGCCTTGACAAAAATTTCCCACACCCAAGTTGCTCAGGTAACCATATGCCCAAACTAATTCCATGGAGCAGAATTAACAGATGGTATTGCATGTCCATGCATGAGCAAATATTATGTAGGTTGAGCCTTTTAACATTTCTAGATTAGCAAGGTTTGTCTACTTCGAACAGTTGAGCTAAAATTAAGGTGAAAGGCCTTTGCTCTAATTCAATCAATTGAAACAAGATCTGAGCATTAATTGAACCTCTTCCTCTTTTCAACAGTTCCTTCCATTTGTCCATAACATTATGCATTTGGATGCAAGAGATACAGAAAAATGCTTCTGACAAAAGAACACCTCCTCCATCAAACTCTTACCACTTTCTCTTTTGTGTGTTTTTATTGAAAAATTCCTGCCACTTCTGTTTGGGATGTTCACATCAGAAAGGGTTGTGCATGCATGAATTTGAGGATGTGTGGTTTAGAATACAACTTTAGCCAAATTTTATTAGCTTTAACCATTTCCATTTTCTAAGCCTTCATTACACAAAGTGAAACAATACAGGCCAATATTATTCCTGGCTAAAAATAAAATAAAAACCTATTTTATGAGCATATGTTGATTCATAAGCAAAAGAAATGTCATCAGCAATTCTTAACAATCAGATCAGTGCCAACCCAAAGACAGCTTAGATATACTATCATTTCAGCCTTACATGACAAATGATGGGGAAAATGCATTTCAGAACCACTTCCAGACAGTTTGGTTGAGTTTTCAGAAACTAGTTTGACAAAAATAAACAGCAAAAAAAAAAAAAAAAAAAAAAAATTTAAACTTTTTTTTTGCTTCAAAGAAGATAAACCATATGAAGATTATGATTGCTTTTTATTATTTTTATTTTTTTTTACCAAACTAGTTTTTAGTTTTGAAAAAATAAAAGACAAACGAAAAACGGATTTTGAAAACTCAACCAAATAGGGTGTTCATTTTCCATAATCATGAACATCATCCCATCAAACTCTAAACTGTTACATAGTTGGCATAATGGATCCTGTTCTCAGAATCCACTCAACATCATCCCATCAGATATTTTAGTCCATGAATACTGAATTTATGCAAATGTGGCAAAACAAACAAATAGATAAAACTGTTAGTAGCTGGCTATAAACATAGGAACAGAGGATTAGAAACTCACTACAGGGTGCAATGTGATAATGGAAAAAACAACCACCAAAAGCAGAGTCATAACAATGAAGAAGGTGTTGAGCCCACAGTCCTGCCCAGATGGGGTAAACAAGTAGAAGAGAACTCCAGAAAAGCAAAATGTTGCTATATAACAAACAAGTGAAACAACAAACAGAGCAATGTACCTGCATTGTTAAAGGAAAATATATGAAAAAAAAGTTAATACTAGAAGATAAAAATGTCAAAAATAATAGGTAACAAGCTAAAGTCCATTGCAGGGCCTTTTTTGAACATTTGAGGGTCATTGCAGGGAGTGACAATAGCTACAACTAACCAGAATTGTTCATCGTATTTAACCCATTTGTCATTCCATCCATGAACAAAATCCAACAAAAGCACAACTTGAACAAGAAGAAACATTCCTGAGCCGAACTTTGATGATGTCTCTGCATTTACAAACAGAACAGTAAGCTTAATTCCACTGACAAAGAAAGAAAACTTCAAATAAACGCTTTTAAAAAGAGGTAGAAAAACATTTCATAATCAAATCTTTTCTGCAGGGGATAAATTACCAAGATTTTCTAGAAGGTGAACAGCTTTATATGAATTGGGGAATGTTGGGGCCAAATCTAATTTATTCTCATAGCAAAGGAAATCCAAAACAAACACCTTCTAAATCATTCCTAGTCTTGGGCTCTCAACTGATTTCCATCTAGTTCTGTTATTGATCTCCAAGAGTCAATACTCTTCTTCATTATGAATGCTAGCTGACTACTCGGATTGAGCAATGCCCACGCAACTTGGGGATGAATCCTGCTGACGGATCTAAAATACTACAAATACTCTTGCGGGCCCTACATATATTTTTTTTAAAAAGCAACATGAAATGAGTTTCAACACGATTTGATACGAGTTTCAACAAAAATGATTTGAATCATTTGCAAATTGAGTGAATCGTACGATTCAATTTACGATTCACATGATTCACAGCGATTCAGTTCTATTTCTATTTTTGTTACATAATGCATGAAACATCGTCGTTTTCACAAACTATGAAGATATATTTTCCGAAAAATACCCCCAACGGGCCGGACATGGTATTAAAAAATAAATCCACAATGATATTCAGGCCGGGGACGAGGAAACATGTTTCAGCCCCAGACCCGGCCCGACCCCGGCCTCGTTTTTGATATATATATATATATACTTTTTTGATTCAATGTTTCTCTCTCTCTCTCTCTCATCATCTTTTATTCATTTATATCTACTCTCTCTCTCTTCCTCACATCTCTCTCAGATCTCTTCCTCACAGTCTCTGATCTCTCTCTCTTCCTCACCATTTCTCACCGCCGAATCAGACAGCGCCACCTCCTCCTCCTCCTCCTCCTCCTTCTCCTTCGAGCAAAGAGAGAGAGAGAGAGAGAGAGCACTGAACATTGTCGCCGAGCACCACCTTCTCCTCCTTCGAGCTTCACCTCCTTCTCCTCCGGTGTCCGTTCCCTCCGCCATGGTAGATCTAAGTAGATATCTCTCTCTCTCTCTACTCAAATCTCTCTCCGTCCCTGTGAATCTGTGATGTTGATGATGTCGTTTGATGATGTTGTTGAATGGTTGTTGCCGCTGCTGTTTGGGTTTTTTTTTTTTGGTCCGGGAAATTTTCGGGGTCGGGGAAACCTAATCCCCCATTAGGGGGCTGGGATGGGGACGAGGACGGGGACGGTGATAGGACCCCCGTTAGGGATCAGGGCCAGGTTGAGGAAGGGAAAATTTCTACCAGTGGGGATCGGGGACAGGGAGTGTGATCCTCGGCCTCGCCCCGTTGCCATTCCTAGGTGAAATACGAATAAAATGTACGGGATTTTCAAGGAAATTGGGAGACTTATTTGCCTCTGGCCGAGTTTGTATACAATAATAACGACAAACCCAAATAAGAAACCAGCAAAACTGACATCCTACACCCCAAGACAGTAGCTAAAACCGGTAACCGCTTGACCTCCCCAACTGGAATAAGCTCTAACTTCTGCAAATTAACCCGGAGGCTCGATACTGCCTCAAAATATAACAAAACACACCGCAAATGACCCACCTTACTCAACATCAGCCCCGCAGAAAATCAGAGCGTCATCCGCATATAATAAAAGAGATATAACAAGACAAAGATCCCACAACAAAGCCTCCCAGGAGACCTCCACACACAGCTCTATCCAACAATCAACTCAACGCCTCCATCACTAAAATAAATAACAAAGGTGACAACGGATCCCCCTGCCGAAGACCCCGATACGTCAGAAAAAACCCTGCTGGAGATCCATTAATCAAGACAGACATCCGCACAGTCGAAACACAGAACTTAATCCAATGGCACCAAGTATCCCCAAAACCCATTCGATCCAACATATACAAGAGGAAATCCCAATTAACGTTGTCATATGCCTTTTCAATATCCAATTTGCAAATCAAACCGGGTTGTTGTCGAATCCGAGAATCTACACTCTCATTGGCAACCAACACAACATCCAAAATCTGCCTGTCTCCTACAAATGCGTTATAAGACTCAAACACCACAGCCTTTAAAACCCCTCTAATTCTATTGGCTAGAACTTTAGCTAATATTTTATGCACACTGCCTAACAAGCTAATAGGCCGAAAGTCACGAACATCCTCAGCCCCCTCTTTTTTTGGGATCAAAGCCAAAAAAGTCGCATTAAAACTTTTTTCAATTTGGCTAGATCGGTAGAAAGCCTCTAAAGTTGCCATCACATCACCCTTAACCACACTCCAACAATGCTGAGAAAAAGCCAATGAGAAGCCATCTAGACTTGGAGCTTTGTCACCACTCATGGCCTGCAAAGCCCCAAACACTTCATCCTCCGTAAAAGCACGCACCAAACGCTCCTTATCCTCTCCCGAGATCATATCAAAATGAACCCCTTCCAAGCTTGGCTGCCACTCCCCCTCCTGTTGTCAAAACAAATTTTGATAGAAACCCACAATCCCTTCCCGAATCTCTGGATCCGCGCAAAGCTCTCGGCCATCCACCCACATCCTAGTAATTTGATTAACTCGCCGATGTGCATTCGCCATTCGATGAAAAAATTTCGTATTTCGATCCCCATCCTTCAACCATAAGCATCTAGATTGACACCTCATCCATGCGAGAAATACGAACAAAGTCTTGTCTGGCCGCCTTCTTCCAAACACTATCAGCAGTGGACAAACCCCCATGCGCCTCTAACTCATCAAAGGCTCGGAGTGAAGACACCACCTCCGCTTTTTGACCCCCCTAATCGGCGAAACACCTCCTTATTCCAAATCTTCAAATCTCCCTTGAGCAATTTCAATTTATGGGCCAGCACACTACTGGGAGAACCAGAAATGACATAACTACTCCATCAACAGCGCATCACATCCAAAAAACTCTCTGTTTGCAGCCACATATTCTCAAACCGAAATGGCATAAGACCACAACGAATCCCCCCACTATCAAGCACAATAGGCCAATGATCAGACACTGGATGAGGAAGACGTAACTAAACAGCCTCCGAAAAATGCTCCTCCTATCCCCCAGTCACAATAAAATGATCAATACGAGACATCCTCCGCCCATTTGACCAAGTGAGGTTGCCTTCCTGAATAGGTAAGTCAACCAACTGCAAAGTATCAATTAAAGAACAAAAAGACCTCATGGACATTGAGACCCAATTGGTCCCCGACCTCTCTGATGGCCATCTAATAACATTAAAATCTCCCCCGACACACCACGGAACATCCCATCGAAACGCCATACTCTCCAATTCCTCCAGAAACCCTCCCCGCTCCGAATGCTGCACCGGACCATACACCCCAGTGAAGGCCCACTGAAAACCATCCTCCACACATCAAAACAAATAGGACACCGAAAAACCCCCACCTCCTCCTCCTCTCTCACCACCACCCTCTTATCCCAGCAAAAAAGAACCCCCCTTGCCGTCCCAAAAGACGGCAAAAATGCCCATTCCACAAACTGCCCCCCCCATACCTCCCGAATCAACTCCAGTCCCAACTTCTCCATCTTTGTTTCTTGTAGACACACTACATCCACCTTGGCTCCACGCAACACAGCCTTCACTGCCACCCTTTTATCCTTATTATGCAAGCCCCGCACATTCCAAGATAAAATTTTTAGCTTCATTCCAACAACAGTGGTCCCCCACGCTCTCTTCTAGCTCCCCGTCCGACATTCTGCCTCCCATGATCATAATTAACAGTACACTCCAAATTCTTGAGCTCCTGGTGCCTTTTACAGAGGGAAACAAATGGTGTGCCCACTCCCGGACTAGGAGCCCCTTGCTGCCAAGCTGCTTCTACTTGTACGAATAATCGCATAGCCTTCTTTTCATGGCCCTCAAATGACAAACCCAGACAGCTGCTAACTTCCCCAATGCGCTCCAACACCCAATTCGACACTGCCTCCGAAGATGGAATCTCCGGCCCATCCAATCCACTGTTGTTCTGGACCATGTTTTGATGTTGTCCTAGCAAATCTTCTGACCCACCTCCCCCTGTAGCAAGGGGTTGGAGTACTAAAGCCAGCCCATCAGTACTGGGAAGCTCACTCTATTCAACACAATCTGCCTAAGAAACACCCTCAAGCGCCGTTATAGCTGGATCGACCTCACCATCTTCAGCTTCCGAGCTCACCGCCTGAGAACTAAGTCCACCCTCCTCCGCCAGTCACTGCGACCCTAGATCGTCACCAACGGATTCACGATGGGCCACCAACTCCTTGCCCAACTGCGTGTTAGACGAGCGACGCTGTGTATCGACAATGATCATCTCCACCCAATCTGGCTCTCCTGGATTCGCCGCTGCCATATCAACACATACATTTCTCGTGACAACCTGACCCACTCCAGCAATAGGGGAATTAACTTGGGGTAACCCAGCTATGCCCAAATCAAGCCCCTTTGGGCTTAAGTGACGAATTGAAGAACTCGCCCCATTAGTCTCACAGGCCCAACCTTGAACTCCGTTATTCTTTGCCACAACCCAAGCTTTGCGGCCCACAGTTGTACGCACAGCGACTTGGGCCTGCACCAAGCCCAATTGACCCCTTTGAGGCCCCCGTGGTTGACCCACACCATGACCCACTAGATTCGAATGACCACGCTCCACCCTAAATCTATTCAGATACTCCTCCATTCCCCAAATCCCTAGAACTTCGTGACCTAACTACAACAAATCCGCCCTTGCCTTATCCGACCCAAATCCCCCTGTAATTTCGGCCGTCAGCGACCGTAGCTCTACGAGCAAGTCTTCCTCCACCCATACCGGCAGCGAGAACTGCCACATCCCCCAACAAACGGAAACTTGCGACGGAGTATGGTCCGACCGCCGCACCCATAATTGAATACCACCTAGATCCACCAAGGATTCATCTGCCTCCACAAAACCACCACACCGATCACCAATAGCACGATACACCTCTTGCCCACGAAGATGAACAGGAAGCCCCACCACCCGAATCCAGACGTTTTCCTCCGGCAGCGACA